ATGATCGCCGCCTGCTGCGAGAGGGCCTCCACCGTCGCAGTGGGGCTCGCCCTGAGGCCCAGCTTGGGCAGCTCGATCTCGCGGAGAAGCCCGTCCACCAGCTCCCAAGGGCTGTTAGCCGAGAGGACCTCCCGCTCTGTTGCCGCCTGCTGGCGTTCCGCCTCGGCGGGGGCCGCGCGCGGCTCCTCGAGTTCCTTCTTGGCCTGTTCGACCGACTGTTAGCAGTCCGCCGCGCGCTGGTGGGCCTGGTGGAGCGCCCTTGTCACCTCGGCCAGTTTGGACCCAGCGTCCTGCAGAGCCATTTCCTTGCCGCGGATCCTGCCCTCGGGCTTGCCGTGCGCGAAGCCCGCCGAGCGCAAGACGGCTTCTTTGGGCCGCAACCGCTCGCTTGGCCAGCTGCTCCGCCTCGACGGCCTCGTCAAGCAGACTCCTCTGCCGCGCGAGCCTGTCCTCGAGCCCCCCCCGCGTTTCCGACGAGAGGCCGACGAGCGGACCCTGCAGGAGCTTCCCGAGTTGCACGACCTCGCGACGGATGCCCATGGACGGGGGCTCGGCTCCTGCTGGGGTGCCGCCTCCACTGGTTCCAGCCGCGCCCTCGGCGCCGCCGTCCTTCTGGTCGCCTCGGGCTGCCTGCCGCGCTACTGCGCGGGCCTTGCGGGCCGCCGCGCGCCCGCGTCCCTGCAGCGCCCAGCCGTCCGCATCGGCGACGGCGTCTGGCTGCGTGGCCGCTCCAGCCGAAGACTTCGGCTCGGCCGCTCCGACCCAGGCCGGCACGCGGAGCGAGTGCACCCGCTCCGCTCGCGGCGTGCCGAACAGAACGGATACATGCCCCTTCCCCGCGGGCTCCACGGCCGCCTGCGGCATGTCCAGCGCGGACGGGCGCCACGTGCCGCGAGCCTGCCGACCGCAGAGAGTCAGAAGACAAAACTGCGCAATCTTTTGGCTCTTGGCGAAGCGCCCCTCGCGCTCAGAAACGCCCGGACTCGCGGTCGTCGGGTGCGCCGAGGCCTTGAGCCAACATGGCGGTGTGGGCAGTGGACACGGAACCCTCAGATAAGAAATCCAGGGTCTGGAAGCCAGTGGAACTGCAATTGTGGATCGGCTATGGATATCACCGCCGCCCTCATCCGATGAGGGATAGAGAATCCTCCAGGATCTGCAGCCTCCTGGGCACATTCCTTAACGACCGCCCCCACCGTATTGGGTCTCCCCTTGGCCTCGCACACATTCGAAAGCAAAGTCCACCATCTACACTCACGTGACCCTTCTTCGACCTCTAGGACGCGGCGCTCCGCATCGTACAACAATTGACTCGGATGGAAGCCAATTCCTCTTTCGAAAAACGGCTCTCGTGCATGACTACCGCGAAGCATGCGCCCACGACTTTGATACGTCCTGCGACGCTTAGACGGATGGAGGGCATGTTCTTCTCAAAATGGGACCTTTCCACGGCCTCGATGAAGGACTCTTGCGTAGGACTTCCACGGAGCATACGTCCATGACTTCGACATCCTGCAACGCTTACACGGATGGAGGGCTCTTTACACCAGGCGTCCTCGTCTGACTAGTGGACCGACCGACAGCTCTTCATTCAAGCAGTGGCGCCCGCAGTGGATAGGAAGACTTGTATGGACTTGTGAGGAGGGGACTTGGCACGGGAAGAATTGCAGCATCGGTTGACGCATCCTGGGATTACTCTGGTCCTGCTCCTCCTCTTCCTCCTCCTCCTTCCGCATCATGCCTCTTCCCACCTGTGGGGCTCCAGAAACCCTAGCTTTCAACAAATGTTTGGGGGAACCAAGAGGTACGGATACCGCTACTCCCCGGACCTCTCCCGGGGTGTGTTCTGACAAGAACTTCGAGGCGAATCCAGCGGTGGCGACGATGGCCGACAAGGAGGCCCAGAAGGGGGAAGACGAGGGGATGGTAGCGGATGGGCTCCTCTGCCTCCTCTGAGTGTTGACGTATCACTGTTGCTGCCGCCGCTCTGTCCGCCGGCGGCACTGCCGCCGTGTTTAGCTTCGCCAGCCTCCGCAAAAGGCCTGCCGCCGAAGGCGAGGCCCTTTTGTGAAGAGCGCTACCCGGCAGGGCTCCCGCGTGCGAGCGGGAGCCCTGCGACCGGGCGGAAGGTCTGTGGAGGGCGGCGGAAGCAAATTGGCGGCGGCTCCGCCGGCGGAACCTCGGCGGAAGCAAACATCGATATCTCAAAAGATGAAAACGTCTTTGAGTTCAGGGTTTCTGGAACCCGCCATATGTTTGACCCCTAAGGCTGATTCCGACCGACCGCACGCCTTGTCGCGCGCAGGGGACAGGAGGAGGGGGGGGGGGGGGCGGGAGGAGGGGGAAGGAGAGGGAGGGAGGAGGGAGGGAGGATGACTTTTCAAAAGAGCTCCTTGCGGCCAAGCAAATCCCCTGGTGCGCTGTCGTCAAGCCATAGCTGCCAGGAGAGGGCTGCACCGGGGAAGCTGGATGATTCACAAGCTCAGCCTGCAGGCCGATTCGCCAATTCCCCCTGTTCCATCCAGGGGGGGGGGAGGACGGAGGACAGCGGGTGACGTTGATGTCCGCGAGCAGCCGCAGCGGCAGCATCGGCGGCTGCCGTGTGGACGTCGTGCGAGTGACACTCCCCGCAGGGAATGCACCTTCGTTACTGGCACCTCGTCGGCCGCGCGTCGTTCAGCGTGCTTCCCTGACTCCTGCGGCGTGGCCACGCAGGGGATCGCCCCTGGGCAGGGCTCTTTCTATTGGGGGATCGACGTGCGTGTAGCTCCCTGGATGCGAGCTTGGATGCATGGGGAGAGTGCAGCAGAGACGTCCAAGGATCTGTGGGCACGGTGGAGCCCCGCACAGCTCGCGGGGCAGCGGCGTGAGCCCCGGCCAGCACCATCCGAAGAAACACCCCCGGACAACACCAGCCAGCAATCGGGAGGCAGGAGCGGGAAGGTAAGGGAGGGAGGGCGTGGGCGAAGAGGGCGGGGAGGGGCAAGGGGATGGGGAAACCAAGAGTTACTAATGCCGCTACTCCCCAGTCCTCTCTCGAGGTGCGTTCTGACCAGGATTTCGAGGCGAATCCAGCAGTGGCAACGAGAGCCTCCGATGAGGCCGAACAAAAAGAAAAACGGGGTCAGGGTAGCGGCATGGGAACCACTTCCTCCTCTGAGGGGAAGGGAGGGAAGGGGGGCGTCAGAGGCACTACAAGGCTTCCGCCGCGCCCTTGCCCGCCGCCTGGCGATGCGCAGTCTCCCCTGCTCGCTCGCTCGCTGACGCCGCTGCAGCTCCTCCCTGCTGCCGCCCGGCTCTCCCGCCTCCTGCTCTGTTGTGCTGCCCATCCCTTCCTCCCCCTCCGCAGGAGGTGGGAGGGAGGAGCACGAGAGGGAGGGAGAGGAGGACCTCCTTCCTCCTCCTGCTGCTCCTCCCCCTCCCCTGCCGCCAGTCTGTTCCTCCTACTGCTCCTGCCCCCCCCCCATCCTGGAGCACAGGCCCTCATCAAAAACCCCCGACCCACTCGAGGACAGAGCGGGGAAGAGAGGGCATAGCGACTCCTCCCCTCCTCATCCTCCTCCTGCTTTTCATACTCCCTTGTTTCTCCCGCCCGTGTTCGTCTTCCACCTCTTGCGCGTATCTCCTCATCCGTTTCCTCCTCCTTGTCCTCCGCCTGCTTCTGGGGGGCTGCGAACCGGCACATGTCGCCACTTTCGTGGGTTCATGAGAGACACGGCGGAGCCGCAGAGTAGCCGAGACCTCGCGGCTCTCTGGGGGGCTGCGAACCACGCAGTTGTCGCCACTGTCGCGGGCTCCTGGGAGGCACGACGGGGTCGCGGAGTAGCCGACACCTCGCAGCTCCTCGGGGGCTGGGAGCTGCACGAATGTCGCCAATTCCATTGGCTCCTGGGAGACACGGCGGAGTCGCCGAGTTGCCGAGACCTCGCAATTCCCTTGGTGGCTGGGCGCCTGGGAGGCACGGCGGAACCGCGGACTACGCAGACCCACGCGGGGATTCGCAGCTCCCTGGGGAGCTGCGAACGGTGCCACCGTCGCCACTTTCGTGGGCTCAGGGCTCATGGAGGGCATGCCGGAATCCTGGAGTACGCGGGCCCATACGGGACCTCGCTGTCTCTGGGGGGCTGTGAACGCAATTGTCACAAATTTCGTGGGCTCGTGGGAGGTCCAGCGGACTCGGGGGCCCCTCGCACCCATCTGAGACCCCGCAGCTCCCTGGTATGCTGCGAACTGCGCAAGTGTCGTTACTTTCGCTGGCTCCTGGGATCCAGCCGAGACCTCGCGGCTCCCTGGGAGACTACGAATTGCCGTGAGCTCGTGTGAAACTCCGCGGAGGTGAGGGCAACGCAGATCGTGCATATCTGGGGATGGATTATTCTGTATGGAACATGCATGCCGGAATCCGCCTTCGCCTGCCGTGTGGGAGAAGGGGCTAGATTCGTCACGGTCATTTACCCAACATTGATCCAAGTGTTGTCCCAAGCCATGCCGACTAGGTCCAGACATATGTAACGGTTATGTTTCTAAGGTTTCTGTGCCAAGGATTTCTGAATGATAACTACTTACGAAAGGACACCACAATGAGGATTATCCAGTCACGATTCCTTAGTAATGTGCTCGTAATAATAATAGTAATAGTGGTGGCCGTAAACGTAGTAGCAGTAGCAGTAGTTATCGCAGTGGCAGTCGTCGTAATGGAAGCTGGCGAAGGAGCAGCATGGACAAGGAGGGTCACGAGGATAGCAGGACATGGGGACGAAGGGCGGGTGCGGAGGAGGGAGGAGGAAAGGGAGAGGGAAGAAGAACAGGTGGATATATGTGAAGAGAGCGAAGCGCCTGACGTCCACTATTTGCTGTGAGCGGTCCCCCCTGCTGGCAGCCTGCCTGGTCAAGCCATGGGTGGTGAAACGTGTGAAACACAGCAGATACATGTCATGAGTCGAGCATCGTCCCATCTCTTGAAGGGCCTGCCTGTTCGCCTCTAAACGTACATGCGGAACTCATGCTGCCCGAGCAATAGTCTTCTAAACCATGTGCCATGGGTGTACGAGCGAGTACGTTCGGACGAAAGTCGCTTGCGACATTCCCGAACTTCTACTCAATTCTGGTGTCCCAAGCTCGCAACCTCCGGGATGGCAAGACGGGCTTCTCTCAGTATGTAGTGAACAGACGACTCGTCGGAACGCCACGGAGCCTGTACAATCTCCCGAAGCATTTTGTTTATGTCGACTGCGCGGTGGATGTAGTGCTTGCACCACACTGTCCAACACGAGTTGGCGTATAGTGGAGGGACAAGGGGGCAAAAAATGAAACGAAGGTAGAAACGTGATAAGAGTGAATGTAGCGGAAATAATGAATAGGAAGTGAAGGGAAACAGGGGGACAGGAGCATGCAAACTGGCGTACATGATGGATGATTGTGAAAGGAGAAAGGGGAAGAGGAGAGGGGGGTGATGAGGAGATGGAGGAGAGAGGAGGAGAAGGAGGAGGAGGAGGAAGCAGAGGAGGAGGAGGACGAAGAATACGAAGAGGAGCATGAGGAGGAGGACGAAGAATACGAAGAAGAGGAGGACGAGACGGCCTGCTTCTTTAGCTTCGACGAGACGAAGATAGTACCGCCGTCTGGGCACTGGAAACCTGGCTTGGCAGCAGGCGGCCGATCGTCTCTCCCCCACCCGCGGTCGGTAGTGCCCCTCAGCCCCCGCTGGTGTTCCTGCTCCTTCTCCATCCTCCTCGGAGTCCTCCATCCTGCTCGGCCCCTCGGATGCTGCGAAAGGTTGCAGAAAGACTTCTACGATCTTCCTCCTCCTCCTCCTCCTGACGTCCACCTCCCCCTCCCTCACTCCTGTCTCCTCCTGCTTCCCATGCATCGCCGATGCACCGACGACGCCGGGAAGGAAAAATTTCGGCCTTCAGAAATCGAGCTGCATAGTCCGACCCCATCGGTTCCAGCCCGAGCAGAATGCACAGATCTAACACAACCTGTAAAAGGCGAGTCAACGCCCGAAATCTTGGCTTGCGCAGGAGGAGGAGCAGAGCGTACGTCAGTGTTTCACCCCGCAAGGCTGATCACCCCGCATGGACAGAAAGGGCGGATCATGTCAAGAAATCATGATCCTCGAGCCTCGAGAAACCAAAACACTACATAAGCAATGAACAAGAAAAGCCTGACGTTTTTGCAGAATGGTTGGGTCGGAACTGGACCCTCTCTTGCGGGGCTTCCGGCTCCGCGTAAGCGCCGCCCAGGGGTTCCAACGTCGATCCAAGAACACCGCAAGGGTCTCGTAAATGTAACGTTGATGTTTATTCTTCTTCGATCTGCACCCCCCCCTGCTGAGACGCAGAGGGACATACACATACTATGCTCCCTCCTCGGAGGCGCACGTCCGAAACGAACATATGGCACAATCATTCCCCCAAAAGTGCTTGCACTTAGGTTTCTTACTGTTGTTCTTAGGAATTGGGCCAGGCAGGCGGTCTGGCTGCTATGTTGTCACCGTCGCAGCCCCGTCGCCGCCTGTCGTCTGGGCAGGACTGGCGGTCTGGCGGACATGTTGTCGCCGTCGCTGCCCGTCGCCGCCGTCCGTCGCCGCTGCTTCTGGGCCTGGCTGGCGGTCGCCGAGCTCTTTGCCGCCATCGCTGCCGTCCACCGTCGCTGCTCCTGGGCCTGGCTGGCGGTCGCCGCATTTGTTGTCGCCGTCGCCACGATTGGTGTCACCACATAAGTTGCACTGGATAGTTTGCACGAATTGCATCAAACATTCGGATTGATCCCTCTGGGCTTATCGGGCCTGGGGAATTGTAACTTACGTACGAGTATGCCCCATCCTTCAATCTGAATTTGCACTCATACCACCCGCTTCTCACCCCTGACAAATCATACGGTTCGGCCGAACTCGTTTACACACGCCACCAAAGTTCAAAACCCTTTTTTGCAACACCTGAAACAGAATCCACAGGCGCGCGACGCCGCGCGCGCAATCCGAAACAACACAACAACCGTAAGTTTCGTGAACCTGTCAAGGCCGAGGTTCCAGAGGTAAGAGCAAACAGCATAACTTTTGGCAGCGTGGCAAACCAACAATAAGCGCACGCGCTGCTCCGTTTCTTTTAATACTCGGAGTTGCCCAACGTTTTCGTCAAGGGCGACCACCGGGCTTCCCACGCGCGCATGTCGAAATCACTCGAACGCCCTTGCGCGCTTGCGAGAGGGGGGGGGAGAGGGCACGGGCCCTGCCAAACAGAATACCAGTCGGGCCACGCGCGCGCGTCGGTCACGTGCGCACGTTGGAATCTTCTCCTGAACCTTCATCAGCGACGCGTGGACACCATCAGGCGCGGTAGCGGGATGGGCCAGAGGCCACTCGATGCATTTTCCGTTCAAGAGAATACTTCGATCTACCCCCCCTCTCCCGGAGTTAGCGGATCCCCTTTTTCGTGTGACATGTAAGATGCGACTCGTCACCATCGCCCATCCGAAATATGAGTTCATGCCATCCCAGGCAGGACCGCAAACCCCCCGCGCATCCTCAAAAACAAAAGTTATGCGCGCGCACTCGCTTATCACAGTTCATCCGGCTTCGAACATCCCTTGCAAAGGAAAGGGGTGTACACGAGCGCGCATCGTCGCGCCCGCATGCAAAACTCTTTCACAAACCAATCGTTTGTTTAAAGTTGTAAACGTCGGCTGTGCCGAAGACGTATGACAAAATGTGGCTTCGCAACGAAAGCTACCAACAAGACACAGCTTGCGCTCGGGCTCGTGAAATCCATGCGGACACCATAACAGCAATGTCAGAGCTTGCTGCCCAAAAGGCCTCTCGCACGCGCATGTCGGAATCGCTTGGTCGCCCTTGCGTGCGTGCTGTCGCAAAAACCAATTTGCCAACCGCGTGACGAAGTGCACGCGCGCGCGTCGTCGCGCGCGCGTGCGGGAATGTGTGAAAAAATTGTTTCGCAGAAGCGAACATAGAATTATGGTGTTGCAATTTTGTTGTTGAAGAATGTTTGCGCCCGCGGCTTTGCGAATCGTTGAAGCAACCATCGGATTTCAACATTCACATCAACCTGGGTTGAACGGGCCACTCGCGCCGCAAGTCGAAGTCATTCGAACGCCCCTGCGCCCGTGTTGTGTGTGTGTGTGTGTGTCGGGGGGGGGGGGCGCGGTCCGTGTCAAATAATACCATGCGGCCATTCTCGCGCGTCGGCCGCGCGCGCGTGTCGAACTCCCCCCAACATCTTCATCACCGACGCGAAGGCACCGTCATTGTCGGCGGCGTGATCAGCATCGGCGCTGTCACCGGCCTTGCCGTCCACGTTGACATCATAGTCACCAACATCGCTACCATGCACATCGCGTCTACAATTGCCGACGTCGCCATGAGACCGCGCCCGTCCAAGTCGCCGACTCGCACTGACATGCCCGCTGGCAAATGACTAGCGGTCAACGCCACCGCGGCTGCGTCGGCAGCGCCGACCTACGTGACCGCTGCGCGCGCGAGCATGCACGGGCTAGCGCGGCCGCAGGGATGCGCCAGCCAACGCCAAGCACTGATCGCAATAGCCGCCGCATGGGTTTTCCAAACCAAGTTGTGGGCAGGTGGGTGAGATGATTGCGCAAGCAGCGGGGTGGATAACCCACAGCGAACATACATTAATTCTCCTCTCTCAAAACAAAATAAACTCTACCACCACCCCCCCCGGCGTGATCACTACCCCCACGTCCTATGTAAATCACATACGATTCTGACCACACGTCCATCCTAAACATGAAATCACAATATCCCAGGCCAACCGGTATCCCCCCTGAAGTTCCCTTGTAAAAAAACGATACGCGGGGAGATCTAGTGTTCTAAGATCGCACTTTTTCGCGAACTCCTTGCAAACAATGGGACGAAATGCGCAGGCGCGCGTCGTCGCGCGCGCATGCCGGAATCCTTCAAAAACCTTCGGTTCTGGAAGGGTTTCGCAATCGAGTTCCCAAACAACATACAACAACAAAGGGTTCCGCAACACTGATTCGCTAAAACAGCTTACGCGCGAGCTCTTGCGAAATCTTAGGAAAACCATAGTTTTTTCAATATTTTCACAACATGTTACCAAACGGATGCCGAAATCTGTCGAGCGCCCTTGCGCGTGTGCCGTCCCGAGAACCATCTGCAAAAAATAGGACGAAATGCAGACGCGCGCGTATGCAAAAACCCTTCTAAACCCATCGGTTTCGGAAGGATTTCAAAAGCGTGTGTCCAAACAACATACAAAAACATAAGGTTTCGCAACACGGATTTTCAACAAAGCGCTTGCGCGCGCTCCTGCGTCGTCGTCGTCGTCGTCGTCGTCGCCGTCCTCCCTCCTCCCGCGTCGTCGTCGTCGTCGCCTACGTCGTCCTCTGTCTTTCCTCGTGTTCGTCATCGTCGTCCTCTTTGGCGTCGTGGTCGTTTCCGTCGTCGTTGTCGCCGTGGTCGTCCTTCCTCCTCCTCTCTCGTCGTCGTCGTCGTCCATCGTCGGCGTCTCGTCGTCGTCCCTCCTATTTCGTCGCCGTCGTCGTCGTCGTCCTCTTCCCTCCTCCTTCGTCGTTGTCGTCGTCGGCGTCGCCGTCCTTCTTCCTTCTTCGTCGTTCGCGTCGTCGCCGTCCCCCCTCCTCCCTCGTTGTTGTCGTCGTTGTCGTCGTTGTCGCCGTCCTCGTCCTCCCTCCTCCCTCGTCGTCGTCTTCGTTGGCGACGTCGTCGTCGTCGACGTCGACGTCGTCGTCGTCGCCGCGGTCGTCGTCTTCGTCGTCGTCGACGTCGGCGTCGTCGTCGTCGCCGCCGTCGTCGTCGTCGTCGTCGTCGTCGTCGTCGGCGTCGTTGACGTCGTCGTCGTCGTCGGTGTCGTCGTTGTCGTCGTCGTCGGCGTCGTCATCGTCGTCGTCGTTGTCATCGTCGTCGTCGTCGTCGCGGCGTCGTCGTCGTCGTCGTCGTCGTCGTCGGTGTCGTCGTCGTCGTCGTCGTTGTCATCGTCGTCGTCGTCGTCGGCGGCGTCGG